ATTGTAGTGAAAAAATGTATTCTATAAAATCCTTAGAAAAATACAAGACACATAAATTCTATAGATTTTTTTATTTACTATTCAATTTCAAAAAGTTACAGAGAGAAAAGAAAGTCTAGTAAAGAATTTCTATTTTAATACATGAAAATATATATTTATGGCTACTGAAAAATATAGTTCAAGAGAAATAAAGTCAACATAATTGTCTCTGGTTAAGAAGCCTTTGCTCTAAGTATTATGACAAGTGCTATCCCTAAAATAATGTCCCCCAAATGGGTGCCTAAATGAAGATCCCACCTGGAACTATCTGAATTATATAAAAAGAATAACATCTGATTCTATATAAAATGCAAGGTATATTTTTAGTTACAAAGACCCATTGTCAGATATTCTAAGAAAAAAAAAGTAAGAAAACAATCTCTATTTTCTGACAAGCCAGGGTACAGTTTTCAAAGAATCCTGTGTTTTGCTTTTGTTATCATTTGAAGGTCTGCTTTCGCAAGATGAAATATGATATTTAGAAGGGGAAAGAGGCTGCCTAGGGAACAACTGAAGCCTAATTGTTACTTTAATGGCTTAAGACTCCTTTAATCAACTAAACAAACAATGATTGAAAGTGTGCTCTTGGCAAAGTGCTGTGTTACGCTGTCTAGGTATACATTCATAATGTTTAGTGAGCCAGCTTCTCTTCTGTGTTCAGGAAGGTGCAGGTTTGCAGTGCTCTCAAAGGGACCTAAAAGAGTTAATAGATCTCATTAGGTAATACATGGCACCACCATCTACCCAGTTTTCGGTTGGACAGCGTTATTGAAGAGGCCAAGGTCTGAGTTTGATCCCTGTCTGAACAAATTTCAGCCTTGCTCAGCAGTTTCAGGTCACATACTTTGACCTAAAAATTGAACCCAAGAGTCACAAACAAGCAACAGGGTGTATGAGAACAAATTTGTTGCTATCACTGATACATTGCATGCTTACACTGTGTGACTTGGTATCTTAAAGATTGTACTTTATTTTTATTGCAATCAACTCATTTGTTTAAGAACTTAATATATGGATCCAGTTTCTAATGCTTAAATAGCATTATTGATAAAATAGCTAATATGTATATAATATTTCTTTCTTTCCTTTTTTTTTTTTTTTTTTTTTTTGAGACAGAGTTTCACTCTTGTTGCCCAGGCTGGAGTGCATTTGCACGACCTTGGCTCGCTGCAACCTTCACTTCCCAGGTTCAAGTGATTCTCCTGTCTTAGCCTCCCGAGTAGCTGGAATTACAGGCAGCTGCCATCACGCCCAGCCATTTTTCTGTATTTTTAGTAGGTACAAGGCTCCCTATGTTGGCCAGGCTGGTCTCGAACTCCTGACCTCAGGTAATTCATCCACTTTGGCCTCCCAAAATGTTGGAATTATAGGCATGAGTCACCATGCTCAGTTATGTATATAATATTTCTTATGTGCCAATCACTGTTATAAATACTTTATGTATATTAGCTCATTCTAATTTTCATGACACTCATACAAGGAAGAGGCTGTAATACGAATCCCATTTTACAGATCAGAAAACTGAGGAAGAGAGAAGTTATGTAACTCCCAAAAGCTATGAAGTGGCAGAGCTGGGATGGAAAGCTAGGCAGTCCAGCTCCAGTGTCTACATGCCTGACAACTACCACACTTGGGTGCATATCCATTGTTTTCACTCATCAATCAACATATATCAATGCTTGCTTTAGTTATCGAAATATTACATTCTCATTTCAGAAAGTTGTCGTAATTGCTGTACTGTATTTTCTAAATTAACTGACAACAAAATACATGGTCTTGAGATTTTACTTGACAGGGCTGTTTGGATTTTTTACCATTCTAGTATCTCCTTGATACCCCAGTTGCCACATCCAGACATTCAAACTATCTTCAGTTCAACTCCAGATACAATCTAGTTGGGCTTGTGGACTTTATACCTATCTATAACATGTAACTAACAATCCTAAAAATTATGAATACTAAAATTGTCCTGACCATGTGAGAGTTTACAGGAAGTTGGTATGACCCATCCATGAAGGTGAGATTTAAGCCAGACCCAGAAGACTGAAAAAAACAGAGAACAGAAGAAGGGTATTACAGGTAGTCATATTGCCAATGAGCAAAAAGAAACATGTTTGTTACATGTTTAGAAAATAGTGTTCTGAACGGTTCAGTAATGGAAGATACAAATTATAAGGCTGAAGTGCATAAAGCTATAAATATCATACACATTTCAGATTCTTAGGCCCTGGGAAGCCGGTAAGAGATTTTGAGCTTAGCAATAAAGTTATGAGAAGGCTGGTTTAGGAGAGGTAATCTGGCATTATAGTGCAGGTAGATTGAAAAGAGATTGGAGGCAGGATACTTAGTAAAGAATTACTAGAAAACTGACATTCAGAGACTTTAGAATTTGACATGCCTTTCTTGTACAAGACCCATTTAGGTAGAAGAGAAAACTGAAACTCAAATAGGTAAGGAGAGTTGCATAAGAACATGATAAATTATTTTTGATTTAAAGTTTATTTTTGTTTCTAATCACAAATTTATAATTTAAAAAATTATTATCTTTAAAATGCACTTAAAAGAAAAAGACTGAATCAAGGGCAATTCTACCAAATATCTTTCTATATCTGTATCTATCTATATTTGGGTAGAAACATAGTAAATAACATAGCTATGTGAAATGGATAAAAACTTGAGATTTTGCCATTCAGTAGACTATTTGTCTTAGATAGTAAAGCATCCTTTTACATTTATGGAAAACAATATGTTAATAAATAATGTCTAGATATATTGCATTATTTGACAACCAGTCCTGTGTTATAGCCATTATCTTAATGGTAGCAGTAAACATGAAAATGATGTCTCATGATTCGTTGTTGAGCTTTATTATTTTGTTGCTGGATTTGTTATTAAGACCGCTCACATCATTTTCACATCATTTAGTAGATTCAACATGTTTTCAAGGCTACTGACATTTCTGCTGGTTTTGAGTGGTTTTTAATGTTTATTTTCACTTGGGTAGGAACTGAAAAATCTCATCAAAAGACAGTTGTTCATTTCCATTAAGGAATCATGATGTATGGGTGGTAATGTGTTTTCATCTGCGTCCAAGGTGAACACAAAGAAAGTGTTCAAGAAAGTGCTCATTGTCAACCTCACTAAAGGTTTTTTAGTAAAATGTCAACCTTACTATAGGAATTTTAGGGTCTAATATCTTAGGCTGTTGGCATTTTTTATTCAAATATGATAATAATAATATAACGATGTCATAATAAAATCTGAAATTCTGGCCCATTTCCTCAAGAAATTTCCTTAGTAGTGATAACATTAACCATTATTTAATTTCTTGTGATATATATGATAATTTCATAGCCAAAGACAACCAATGAAAAGTGACATTAAACAAATGTGAGTTGCAATTTAATTGGTTTGGAAACATATCTCATAGTGTCTGCAATATTATACAATTTCTTGAATACTTCTTCCAGCATAAGATCTTATAAAATTTGATGTACTATTAATATAGAGTTCCAATCTATCCTTAAATGCCAGGATACTGTTCTATGGCCAGAAGTTTATTCATATGTTCATTTATGTATTTAGGCAGTGAATATTTATTGAGTGCCTAAGTAACTGTGATGTAAGGCAAAGAAAAGATAAATGTTTAAAAAAGAGAGATATGTGAATGGAATGCTAATGAAGATAGAACCCTACTCTCTAGGTGTTCATCGTAGGGCTCAGTGACTTGTTATATAGGTTCTTATTAAATTATAAAAATCTCTTAATTCTTCCACCAGGACAGACCAAGATGATCAGAAGATTTGACACACATTTTCAGTGTTGGTATACATCTAAATGTAAGTGCATCCCTGAAAGTATAGTAGGAGAATAATGAAATTATCAAGGTTGATGCCCAAGTTACTAGCTCACAATGATCTCTTTCTCTTTTTGTATATGCATTTGTAGTTGAGAGCAAATACTATTCCTAGCCAAACGTGGAATTTGAGAGAAATGGTCTAAAGAGCATTTTGGTGGAAATTTGGTCCACTTGATTGTACTTGAAAATTAGTATCCTTTGGAGTATACACATTGACTTGAGTCAAACAGGTATATGTATGCAGACATGGAGAGTTGTAGGATTCAAACTTTCACAGTTATTAAGAGAACACAAGTGAAGGTTCTGAGACTATGGCATGCACTAACTCTCTATCTCCCTGCAGCTTGGTCCAAGGAAATTGTACAGCTAGATCTTGTGTGTGCATGCAGGTGCATGCTTCTCTTAGCTACACATGATTCAGTGCTTCCTCAACAGAAGCAGAAGAAATGAAGGCAGTCAAGGAAAGGGATAGTCTTATTGTCAACCTCACTAAATGTGTTTTAGTAAAATGTCAACCTTACTACAAGATTTTTAGGGTCTAATGCCTTAGGCTGATGACATTTTTTATTCAAATATAAGTATTTTGACAAGATTTCTAATTTAGTTATGGGAAACTCTTTCCACTGTTATTGTTTAATTCTAGTCTATTTTCCTCCTTCCCTTCTCTCCTTCCCACCCCAGCCCCCTATTTGTAGAACCTTGTCAATAAGGGCATTTGAAAGGTAGACAAAGGATCTTGTCTAATGATAAAGTAGGATTAAAATAGTAAAGAAAAGCACTAAAGAGAGCAAAGATAATACACACCACACTTTAACTTAGTAATTTCTATCCTATTTCCACCTTATTATTACTCTGATATTTAATCCAGAAGTCATTGGGAACCTAAGTTATCTAGATAATTATTTTGGTACTCCACTGTTTGTATGCAAACACAGACATAAAATGAAGCTTTAAATTTACAAAAATATGCAGAGAACATATGCATTGCAAAATGATTACTGAATACATATTTGTAGGTGAACACACCATTGTACTATGTTATCTTGACTCAAATTCTTGGTATCTTAAGGTAAATTAAGAAAAGAACTTTAAAAGACAATGACTTCTATTATCATAAAAAATATTTATTATAAAAATTATCACATTTCTCTGTACATAGCATAAAGACAAAAACACAATGTATACATTAATAATTTAAGTGAGCCTGAGTATTCAGTATCCATCCACTAGAACCCTAAAGTTCTTCCACAGATTTCACAAATATCAATGTAGACTATTTCTATTTTATCAGAGTCCATTTGCATGGTTGATGTAATGGAGTTAACTACCATTTCTTTTTTCTATTGTTTTAAAGATAGTTCACAGTGTTTGGGTTAATTAATTAATCAACTGATTAAAGTCTTTGGTAAATAGAAGTATTTACATGTAAAAATGTTTAGCTCAAATTTCAGTAAAAAACTGAAATGACAAATAACCTACTGAAAACTGTTTTGTATAATCAGAAATGCATAAGCTGGGCTCCAACCATTAAGAAATATCACTGTCTACAACTTATGATGATAAAATCTGAAAAACAGTTGAGGATCTGTTACCATTACCAGAAGCACCACACCAGGCCACCACAAAATTACACACAAATGTTAAATTCAACATATAAACCATACTGATTGTTTTATAATGCAGAAAATCCTTCTTTTTCTCTATATGCCAGTTTAGATGTTAATTGACACAGATGAGTTTATTATCTCATAAAAGCCTTCTATCTTATAAGAGTGAGAGCCATTTAAAGAAGCCATACTGTTTTGAAAGACACCAATTCTTCCTCTTGCCAATGACATATCCATGAAAACATAGATTATTTTTTGAAATAATTTGTGGGAAAAATAGAAAAATGCCTGCCTTCTTCTTCCCTACCATCCTATATCCTTTCTTTCCTTCCTTCCTTCTTTAATTTTTCCATTCCTTCTTCTTTAAGAGTAATCAGCATGACTGGCCTACCAACCTTCATATTATGCCTTAACTCTCCCAAAATACCATATGCATTTCAGGTGTCATTCATTAGTTCTCAGTCACAATGACTCACAAATGAAAGCATGCTGGCATGAGAATCTCTTACGTCCAGGCTATTTGTTTAAACAAATTACTCCAAAAGGTACTTAAATTCTAATGTTCTTGAACCATTTGAGAATTAGAAATTTTTAAACAGACATATTAATGCTGGAGTGTAGAGAACATAATAATTATATAAAAATATGTATTTTAAGCCTAGAAAATAGATGCCTTTGGATTACCATCATTTCAAGGTAGAGAAAAGCCTTTCCTACTGAGTTAGGCTCTGAATATCTGATTTCTTTCCCCGACACTAGTTTTTCCAGTCTACAGATTTGTTTACAAACAAAGCAAAGTAAGAGATATTTTTGCTGTTACTTTGGCAATTCTCTCTCTCCAATCTTCAACATCCCGAGATAAGTGCACATCTAACAATTCACTCAAGACTAGGCACCTGACAATAAGTGTTCACTTAGTGAGTAAAGTGAACAGGAAAAGCAGCATAAAAAAGGAGCTGTGTTTTTATCAGAGGAGCCTTCCTTCTGAGTTTTTACATAGGTTGATGCCTTCACTGCAACTTTGAACAGAATGTTTTGACTCGTTCCTCCTCATTCAAAGTAAACCTTATTTAAATCACCAGCCTTTCCTTCCGGAGCACATAAATATGTTCAAAATGTACGTTTACATGCATTTCTAACCACATACGCGCTAATCCTTTTTATGGCAGGAAAATGCTGGTATTCTGACACCAGTATCCTTTGATGTGAACAAGAGGCCTAAAATATCAGTCTACTGAAACTACTAACCACCATCTTCATGCTCACTCTTTTTCTCATTCTTGTTATCAAAAATAGATGGAAAACTGAGGCTTATTTATTCAGGATTTGATATAAATTCATGAGCTGTTCTACATTAAAAAATAAGGAGCTGACCATCTGTTAACTCCTGTCATCCTGCACTAAGTTCTCCTGGGTCACAGAAATAAGCTCCATTCCTCAGTGGATCAGGGTTCTGATTAAGGAGTTTTCGTTGATGTTGTTTGTTTTGGACGAAACAAGAATTCACACACAAACATTCAGGAAGCAGCACTGGTGCAGACCCACATTGATCCCATAGTGTCTTGAATGTCCCTCTTCACATGGCCACTTCTTTTGCCAGGTTCTTTGGTTCCCTGCTTGGGATACACCAGTCATCAGCCTCAGAGCTCATCTGATAATGTTTGAAAGCTGACTTGTTAAAGACTGGAAGTTTTTCTACAGACTCAGAAGACAAAGCCTAAAAGAAGAAGGGGGAAAAAACATGAGACCAAAGAAATTATGCATGGCATAATTTGCACTGGAAGATATTATTCAAAATACTTTCAGAGATAAGTATCCAAACATTTAAATACATTCATTTAATTGAAATAGTAATAAGAGCACGCTGGTGCCTGCACTCAGCCTATTAAAAGGCTCTTTCTCAATAGTTTGAAGGCTTGCGCTCATTTAAGAAGTATATAATATTAACTATTTCAGATGGTCAAAGGCCATTTGGCAAGTAATTCCAGTGTACAAAATGGGAGTCTGAACGTTTAATGTTTTAGTTGCTATTATCTGTAAATATATTTTCCGTTGAAATAGTTGGCAAATGGTGAACAGAATCAAGACAGTGATTTTAACAAAAAAATTTAGGCATTACCAGAAACAGACAAATGCACCAACTTTTTAAGTTTAAACAGAGAGTGTCTGGCATCCCCCTGTTAGCCTGTGAACAGTCAGCTTTCCTTAACAAGGTCAGTTTAAGGTCTTGAGTATCTTGATATCTGTTATTTTTTCAGGCTGGAACATTATTAGCATATATTTCCCACAAATCTAAGTAAAATAAAAGTACAGCTACTCTCATAGATGCCAAAAGGAGTTGCCTTAAAAAATTCGGCCGGGCGCGGTGGCTCAAGCCTGTAATCCCAGCACTTTGGGAGGCCGAGGCGGGTTGATCACGAGGTCAAGAGATCGAGACCATCCTGGTCAACATGGTGAAACCCCGTCTCTACTAAAAATACAAAAAATTAGCTGGGCATGGTGGCGGGTGCCTGTAATCCCAGCTACTCAGGAGGCTGAGGCAGGAGAATTGCCTGAACCCAGGAGGCGGAGGTTGCGGTGAGCCGAGATCGCGCCATTGCACTCCAGCCTGGGTAACAAGAGCGAATCTCCGTCTCAAAAAAAAAAAAAAAAAAAAAAAAAAAAAATTCACATGCGCATGTCCTCATTCTGAAACTTCGGTAATGTATTACAACTTCTCGGGAAACAATTTTGCTTCACTTGAGGCAGGTAGTGTGGCCCAGCTTCCTCTTTGGTCAGTTACGATACTAAATAATGTACACATAACCAGAAAGAGAATAGAATAACCTGTGGTCATTATTTGCATTAACTCAGTTTGGGGAATTCACTCTGGACGGTAGCACTTAGTGCTGTAAAAGAAGCAATGGTTTTAGAAATAGGATTTCGCTATTGAATCCAAGAGATACCTTTAAGTAGATGATAGCATCTGTTCCATATCCTGATAAAGAGTAGAGATTCAGATCTCCTTGAAAGTACTTGGCATAGAGACGAGAAATTGGCAAGCCATAACCAAAACCAGCCTAGAGAAGAGAGATGTTATCAGGTTAAAAAGTGTATGTGATTACTGAAATACAAAAAAGTAGGAAGTTTCCATCTTCACTAATATTAATGTCCTAGAACCTAAATAAATATCTTTTACTTCCAATCAGACACCACTTGTTTCACCATTTTTAGCTTGCTTTATCATTCTTTCTCATATCCTTCATGTCTGATTTAACTATATTGATAAACTTGTCTAAATAGTCCCTTGCAATCCTTGATCTACATTTAGAACCAGGTGGCTGAGATGAATTTAGCCATATAATTATTCTTACCAAAGGAGCATTCCGGGAATTATCCATGACAGGTGTTGGCGCAGTGGAGTATGTATAACTAAAGAGGCGGTCAATAATTCTCAGGGGAACACCACCTCCTCTGTCTGAAATCTAAAACAAACAAACAAACAAAGTCATCAGAGCTACACATTAAGAACAATGTGCATCTGACTAAATAAAAATGGCTTTCCTTCATTTAAAAATCACTTTGCACATGACTGTTATATATTGCAAAAAGCAGATAGCATTATTACTACTGACTCTGTTTAATTCTCTCAAGAGACACCCAAAAGAAAAACAGAGAATAGTTACCTTAATTGTAAGGTCTTCTTTTCCCAAGACAACTGTCACCTCAATTGGTGTAAGGGAAGCCTGATTTTCCTGGTGTTCAACTGTTGCCCGCATTGCATTCTAAAGAAAACCCAACCATAAGGAATTCAATGGCAGAGGAATGAGGGACAATAAATAACTTTTTTTTACTTTTTAAAATAAAAGTAGCACAGAGGGTAATTGAAAGTTCCTACTTTTTTTAAGTTAGTAGTAAAACAGCTTTGTAAATAGCCATTTATGAATGTGTCATGTAGGATGTATAATAAAAAATATTCTTTTACCATGTAATATAGCTCCTGGGAGTAATGTCTAACGGAAAAACAATTCTGCTAGCTGTCAAGTTCTTATTTGTAAGCTTAATTTAAATGTAGAAATTGGTTTTTATAGTCCATTTCCTAGCTCCCTCTTTTCTGTCTTTCCATTACATTTTACATCCAAGCACCAAAGACTATTACATAACAAATGAAAAGTGAATCATTGAACCAATTTACTGGCTTTTATAAAACTTGCTGTGAAAAGGTTGTTAACTATTTAAAAGGACAGTCAATAATACTAAATTAAATTTCAATTTGCATTTGATTATCATCTAACTTTTACCAGTGATTGCAGAATAACTCCATGAGTTGGATCATTCAATTTAAAAGTAAATCAGATCAATGAAAAAGTATCCTTTGTCCTTTAACACAGAACAAACTCAAACAAGTTTTCAGTCTATTGGCTGAATCTCATACAAATACAGTCTTGGTTTTCTTAGCCCGTTTTTCTTTGCCACCACCTATTTGCTTTCTGGTTTTTACGTAATATTAAGTTCTAGTCATTAGCTAGAGTGAAATAACGTAGATCAGATGTCTAATACAATCAATACCTCACAGCGGTAATATTAGAATAAGGAAACAGGAAGTTCAGCATAGAGTTATGTGAGAATTAGAGCTAGATTTTACTTTTTTAGGCTTCCTTCCCTCTAATTCAGGGAACTCTTGAGAAGCATCAAAAAGCTTAAGGTATTTTTATTTTTTGGTTTAAGTTCAGTTTAATTTAATCTTCGAATCTTAATTTAATTTGATCTTAGGACCCATGAAAGCATTTGATTCTTAGCACCTGGCTGCCCCGGACCAGTAACATCTGCATCCTCTGAGAGCTTGTTAGAAATGCGCATTCTCAGACCTAAAGAAATAAGTCTCTGGGCTGGAGCCCAAGAATCTGTGTTTTAACAAGCCCTGCGGGCAATTCTAATGCACACTACAGTTTGAGAAGCACAGCTCTACAGGCCTGCTAGGAAAACTGTGCATTGTGGACCAGCAGCATCACCCCTTAACTTATTCAAAATTCAGAATATCAGGCCCCACTCTAGACTTCCTGCATTAAAATTTTTACTTTAACAAAGTCCCCAGGTGATTCATATGCACTTTAAAGTAGATGATTGGAGGAACTACAGATGTGCTCTGAGCACATTCTGGACTGTGAATGGGGCCATGCCACCGACAGGAATTCTAGACCGGAACCTCTGAGTTTGGAGCTGGACCAGGCTCTGGTGGTGGAGATAACAAGGCCCTATTTACTGAAGCATTCACCCTATGACCTCTCTTAATGAATGCATAAATGACTAGTGCTTTGTCGGACACCTGAAAAAATAATAGGAACTTCCTCTTGGCTCTAAAACATTGACACATCATGAATTTTATCATGCATTCTCAAATACAAATACGTGTTGATACTACACATGAGCTACACGCATTTTTTCAAACATTGACTGTGTAGTTTCTTTCTCTTAGGAGGACCAGAAGCATTCTTGGGAAAAGGTATTGAGGCTCCTGTTTTGTGGCAAATAATAAAGCAGATAAAAATATAACTGTGAAACCTTTTTAATAGGTAAAATTTCAATTATTGTGAAGTATCGTACCTTAAATAGTTCAAAGAGCATATGATGGAGGTGGGAAGGAACATACACGATGTGAATTGGTTGGTCTGGAAATTTTCCTAGAAAAATAAAGTTCATTAAGAATTTGTAAACAAATACTTCACTAAAATAAACCACCATATCCATGTGATTAACATTTTAGATTTCAAGAGGGTTGGCATATTCTCTGTCTTCTCCATCCCCAAATCCTGCCCTAGAACTTTTCTACTTAAACAGTAAATAAAACAGGCTTCTATTCAAAATGCTATTGTAGTTGCTACCTAGCGGTTTTTTTTTTTTTTTTTTTTTTTTTTTTTGGTGTGTTTGTTTGTTTGTTTGTTTGTAGAGATGGGGTCTCACTATGTTGTCCAAGCTAGTCTTAAACTCCTGGCCTCAAGCAATCCTCCAGCCTTAGCCTTCCAAACTACTGGGATGACAGGTCTGCACCATCTTGCTTCATATGATTATTTTTTTATTTCTCCACAAATGTATGGCATTGGATCAGTGTGGAAGAATGGTGCTCTAAATTAGATTTTGCAGATTATTTCTACTTTGAACATTTTATTTCTACTTTGGACAATTTCAGAGTTAAAATCATACGTATTTTAAAATAGAAGGAAAAACACCATGCTTATACCATAATATTGAAATTAATGCTAACTATAATTTTCATGTTTTTAATGCAAGGTAAAAAACACACCTGATTTTTCTTGCTTTTTTTTTATCACCCAAACATTAAATCTTATATGCTAAATATGCTTAAATATCACAAAGAGGCTAAAGAAAACTAAGAAACAAAAATCTCTTAATGCTTTTTGAAAAGTAAAATAAAATTAAAAAAAAAAAAAGAAAAGAAAAGTATTATTCTTCAGGGTTCCAGGCCTTGGCAAAGTTTGAATCAGAAAACACAAGGTCTGGCATAATCCCCTCTTTATTTTATTTAACAGTTGGAGCAGTTTATCTATAAGTATTCTGCAACAACACTGTTTATCCTTAGAGATATGTTCCATTCTTTATTTGTACTTCTACTTTTAGTGTAGTGTTTACTTATATTTGCATGTCCCTAATCTGTTATGCTACTCTTTGACAACTTGATTTTAACTCTCACCATAAACAAAAACTGTATAAATATTACTTGAGAAAGATGTTTACTTTAAGTAGAAGAGAGAAGATAATTCCAATTTAAGTATACTGTTTTGTTTTAAAATACAACTATTTACCAGAACAGAATGGGAAGGAGTGAACACAGTGCCTTTCATTGATCATGTAATCACTTCAGTAATTCAGACAGTATGGAAGAACTTGTCAGAATATAAGTTTTTGTTTTGTTTTGTTTTGTTTTGTTGTTAGTTTGTTTGAGACAGGGTCTCACTCTGTCACCTGGTCTCAAGTGCAGTAGGACGATCATGGCTCACTGCAGCCTTGACTTCCTGGTCTCAAGCGATCGTCCCACCTCAGCCTCCTGAGTAGCTGGGACTACAAGTGTGTGCCACCATGCCTGGCTAATTTTTATTTTTTGTAGAGGCAGTGTCTCCCTTTATTGCCCAGGCTGCTCTCAAACTCCTGGGCTCAAGCAATCTTCCCACTTCAGCCTTTCAAAACGCTGGAATGACAGGTGTGTGCCACTGAACCCAGCTGAGCTGAAGCTTTTTGAAGTACGTTCTGCTTCCAAAACAGTAGTATAAACCAACAGTGCAATTTTTTTGTATTGGGGTGAAGATATTTAACATGAGACCTACCCTTTTAACAAAATGTTAAGTGTACAATGCAATATCACTAACTATAAGCACTATGTTGAGCAGCAGAACTCTAGGATTTATTCATCTTGTGTAAATTAAACTTCATGTCTGTTGGATAGCAACTACCCGTTTTCTCCTTCCTCACAGCCCCTGACAACCACCATTCTACTCTGCTTCTGTGAGTGTGACTATTTTAGACATCTCATGTAAGTGGAATCATGCATCTGTCACTGGCTTATTTCTTATAGTGAAATTTAAAGTAATTTTGTTTCCAGGTCTTATGGGTAACCTCTTTGAGAGGATATTTCCACTGCTATAATCCCCCTATTTCTGGTCTCCTTGTCCTTCATATTCTATAGCAAGTAATCTTTCTCTGATTTAAGACATTGGAACATAGTTGCTACTTTAATCCCATATTATTCGCTCAAAACATTCTTCTTTATAAATCCTCATTCTCAACTGAATATGCAGAATTGGAACCTTCCAGTTGACATAGTTAAAGAGAACCTTGTCTTAAAAAAAATGTGCACAAATTCTAGGCAAGATTTAAAAAAACACAGAAGTTGCTTTATATTTACAAAAAGCAATCACATTGGGAGAATATACAATTTTCTATAGGTCAAAATAGATTTCACTTATAACTTACCATTCACTTGTGTAAGCTTTAATTCTGGAGATGTTAAATAATACTGATCACAGAGCATCCTTGAACACTCAAAGGCATCTGGAATAGAAGTTGTTTTTTATAACAATGAAATGAATTTATGCCAAGTACAGTTCTCAAATAATCTTCAGTGTCTATATCACCCTAATCTAAAATAGTCTCTAAAGTACAGATTTATCTATATAAAATATATTTTTAGTATTTTATTGAAGAAATATTAATACAGTGTCTAAGTTGTAGTTTTAGCAATATAAATATGTGCACTTCAGAAATTAAATACAATATATAAGAATATGACATGTTAGACACTTATGTTTGGATTTTAAAAGAATATTTTAAACGAATGTTTATACTACTGATTCTCAAAAGCAAAGGACCTTGATGATAACATTTATAAAATAAATGGAACACTCTGTGAATGTAAATTCATTTACAGCGTCACCTCAATTATAGGTATATCAAATCATATACTGTACATTTTCAATAAGGGAAATGCAGAAATACAGAACATACCTTGGATCACTGCTACCACATCACAGTTTGGATCAATGCTTCCAATGTGGCTTGGGTTTCCTGTCTGTGAGTCACTAAATATAAGAACTGTTGAAAAATAAAAACAAAAATTATTGTTTTAAAATTCAGGATAATGATTAGTACTACCACTGAGAATGTGACCCGCTGAGTAGTGAAATGTCTAGTTATAGTATGGCTTATATTCTACCCCCATGTCTCTACACCATGATCATGATGAGCTAACTTACTGTGCTGGTTCATCAGCATCCGAGTAGAAATACGGTTCATGTAAAATCGATCCAAGAAATACTGAAGATTTTGATTGGTGACTGGGTCAACGGTACAGGTATCTTTATACTCTATGATTCCTTGTGCCATTGTAGGGACTACATTGTGGTGTCGATTTCGAACTTTGATGAGTGTATCTACAAAGCTAAGCCATAACATTTAGAGTTTACTGAAGGTTCAAATACATTTCATTCACTTACATTCCTTAGGTTACTTCAAAGAAGGCTGAAGTTCTTTTTGCGCTACTCAACTGAACAAATCAAATGATAAAATGTTAGTCCTTTATTAGGAATCTCACTACAGGTTCTTCCACCAGAGTAGAGGAGACAATTTCATAAACAGACTCATTAGCCTTATAATCAATGCATTCATCATATGTATTGTCTTCTCTTTATAAAATAATAATGAATATCTAATATCATCATAGAGATGACTCTAGAATGCCACTGTGAAAAAACTTTCAAAATTTCTTGTCAGATTTAGAAAAGATTCTTATTTGAAGCTAGAAACTATCAGTTACTCTGAAAGAAAATGTTTAATCTCCAATGACACTAAAATGTATTAAAATTACGTAATGGTAAATCCTCCTGCACATCTAATCACTGGACTAAATTTATAGTAAAAATAGGTCTCCCTAAGGGGAACAAAAATGAGTCTTCCACTTCTGTTCACACTCAGCATCATTTTCAATGCCATATTTCTTCTAAAAAACTAACAAACCAAAACTTGTCATGTGTAAGGGGGTAGTAATTTATTAGTAAGAGCTGAATTCCTTTAATTTAGGTCTAAAAATAATTTAGGAATTTGTCTGGAAAGAACCAAAGTTTTAAACACTTATTCTAATGCACAGAACTTACTCTGATAATGCTTTCTGGTCATCTGGGCTTTTCTCATGGAATTCCACCAAATCCATCAAGCTCTGTATATACCTGTAAAGAAATAGGTGTGCTTTAAGTTTTAAAATTAATAGTCGGATACAAATGGCTGAAAATAGAATACACTTTTTCAAATAATTTGAAAAGAGAAAGTAAGCTTTATATTCAAAATTAAAGCTTTCCCCCACAACATTTGGAAAATAATGCAAATTTAAAATGCTTCAACTTTTAATCCTTGACTTTCAAACTTAAAATTTAACTCAAAATGTTTCTTTAACTATTTCAGATCAGTATTCAGTTTTCTGACTGTTTCGTTTGGCAAATATTTTCATTTCTTCTAGCAATAATACTTAGAAACAACTTTTTTAAAGGCTTCTTATTTTTTTTCTACTATCCTGATTCATAGAAGAGCAGAAGTCTTGACTGCAACAGTAAATATTACAGATAGAATATATGTTTCAGATTGTAATTGTCTTATAGGTATATAATATAGGTATTTCTTGAATGAATGAACAAAAGGCTCTGCAGTCAGTGGATTAAGATGAGGCTGTCATGCATGTCTGCCACCTGTGCATATCCTGCTTCAGTGATTCAAAAATTTGCTGTTTTGGGGTCACCTACCTTCTCTGAGCTTCAGTATTTTCATTTATAAAACAAGATTGTAACAACGGACATTTACTGAGTGCTGGCTGCATGCCAGATAGTGTCCTGAGTGTTTTTGTTTCTTTTTTTATGGGTTATCTCATTTAATTACACTCAAACATTCCTCAAAGTCACATACGTTACTCTCCTTAATCACAGATGGGAATAATAACTCAATGGCATAAAGAGTTTAAGACACTTGCCAAGGATTGCACAACTAGAAGTGACAGAGGCAGGATTTGAACCCAGAGCCCACTCTATAAATCACTTTGTAAGTTACAAAGATTAAGCCTTCCCTAAATAGTAGTTATTTGAATTGGTTTCTAGGCATAGGATTTATTTTGCAATATCAAACTCTTATTATTGAAAATACTCTTCTATAATTGAAAATTAAAATTGCATGCCAATTATTTTTCAAATTTCTCCTAGAACTCAAAATTTTATTATAAAGTAATCTACATTTTCAGGGCAAAAATGTCTGTTTATAGTTTTATAACTTCCCTAACGATAACTTACCCTAAATTAATTTTAAAATCCTTACATCTTTCATAAGTAGTTACTGTTCACATCACCTGTTTTCCAATTATGATGTCAACATGGTATAAGAATTCATACCCGGGTAACTGTTTTAAAACTAGAGACTTCAAAATAGTTTACCACTTACCAGCTTTTAACCAATTGCACTGAAGAGGTATTTACTAATTGGGTTGGGAGGATATCAATTTCCTTCAGAATGTTGGCAAGCCTCACAGGCAATTCTTGTCGCAAAAATGCAAAAGAAGTTCTTTCACATGCATTTTCTGAACCTATAATAAATGAAATTAATTTAGTTAGGGAAAAGGTATGTCTAAATGACATATCTAAATAGTATTAACTATCAAATATTGAACACACACATATATTATAAAATTATATTTCACTCTCAGTTGGGTTACTGTTTATCAATAATTCAGGAGCGATTGTCTTAATTGACTCTTTCCTTTCTTCCTAGCTTCCTTCTTTTCCTTTATTCTTTCTTTTAAAAAGTGGCAAATATAGGAGAATGATTGTTTTCTCTTTTTGAAGAGGCTTCACTTCCAAGGAGTAAGAATATTCCACAGTTTTTAGTATTTATAAAAGACTGCAGGATTCAGTCAACACCACAATGTCAACAACACAGCATCCTTTAATGAATGTAGACACGAAATTGGAAAGAGACGATAAGAGGCTGGAGTGGGACTTGCGATATTTCCAGATATCACATTTAAACTCCTGAACCTTTCCTTACAAGATTACTGCAACAAGTGTTCACATATTTTCAGCAATAATTTAAATATATAGAAAGCTCTAATAATAAAGAGACAAAGAATCCGTTAGGAATGCAGAGAGATGTACCCTGTGGAAGGATGCCGGGTGGCTAAGGAATAAAATCTATTAATTTGAGGCTACTTAATATTACTCGGAATCTTCTCCAGGAAGTACTAAGCTGTGAAGGAGGGGTTTCTAGTCCATTGTTAAAGGGTAACTGAAAGCAAAAAGTATTTTGACTGGAAGAATGGGTCAGAAAGAAGTGTATGCAGATGGAGTCAAACCGTCCAGTTTGACTGTCAAACTCCAGCAGAGTTGCAGGTGGCTTTGACCTGGAGGCACCACCGTCAGAAAGCAACCAAATCTAGAAAAAGGAAAGGTGTGCTGGCGTCGAAGATCCAGGGCTCAGCAGCAACGTGAACCCCAGTTGTTCAGCTTGAGCCTAGCTCCCCCTCTCCCGAGGCTGAAAGTTAAGGCCGCTCCCATCCCCAGGACCCATTTTGGGCCGTGTGTCCCCTCTCACCAAAGTCCAGCAGCTGCTTCATGGACAGCGGGGACGGGCTGTAGCGCGAGAAATGCTCGACCTCTCGGGGCACCAGGCCGGCACCGCTGAGCGAGCCAGCGCTGCGCAGTACGAAGCGGGCCGCCTTCATCTTGACGCCCACCCGGCCTGGCAGGGACTGTGACTGGCTTGAGAGACTAAGGCGGCTTGGAGCAGAGCCTGGTTCCGAGGGGGCGCGGCGCGTACGGGCGAGGACTGCAGGTGCGCTGGCTGGCTCGTGCGCCCCGGCCTGGGCTGGGGTTTGGGGGTGCAGAGGGGTGAAGAGGCTGGGCAGATGCAGTAGGTCGAGACCCAGGTTCGCGTCTTCCCACCAGCTGCCGCCTCCCGAGGTTTTATTTGTCTCCCCGAACTCTCCCCGCCCAGTCCCAAACAGGAGGAGTCACTGGGACTTGGAGACGCGTCCTGAACTCCGGGCCGCGCCAATCAGATAGGAGAAAGAACTATGGTCCCCGCCCCCCCGGCCGCGGTCCCCGCGGAGTGGCCTGGCACAGTGACCACGGAGTGCCCTGGCACCGGTGCCCATGGCTGTGAGGGGAAAAGGGTGGGGAGAACAGGGAGGAGGAAACAGAAGCAGACATCTGGGGCAACGTGGGCTCAAGATTAGCCTCCTGGGACAGGGCTCCTGGTCGCGTGGGCTGGGGTCCCGCCCAGGCTCGTCCTTGTTTACAACTCCCAGGCTGTCTCAATGTCAAGTACTCCTGGCCACGACGCGTTTCCAAGAGTTTGGGCTCCGAGCGCTCATTGGTCCTTGCTCAGAGCAGAGCTTTTACAGTAGCCCACAAGGCGCGTTCAAAAGCATGCGCTTCTCTGCCTTTGAACAGAGAGAAAGGAATAAACAACTTAAAGACCTGCGCCCCCACCACCACCATGCCCTTTTCTTCGGAAGAGAACAGCACATGGCAGGAACTCTGCGTTCCTTTTGCTGAGACTTGAGGAGCGGCCCACATACATTTACTTTTTCCTGTGGTAATAAAAGGTCATCAAGCCGTTTCTCTCCGGCAACACATTCTTTCCGTTAGGTTTAGTTCTGTTAATTAAAACAAAATTAAAAGAGGATCAGTTTGTCAATTTCCCTTACCTTTTACTGTGATCAGAGAATTTGTTCACTCTGTCCTGTACGAAATGTCCTTACTCTGAATCTTTGCCTAAGACATTCCATTCTACCTTCAAATGTCTGGCACAAGCTGTTTGCTTCAGGAGGTCTTCCCTGATTACTTCTCCCCACTTCTTCCAAATACGACCTTGGTCTTTCATGGTATTCCATAGTTATTTATGTTTTTATATTATCCCTCTGTGACTCCCCCATCTACTGAAAGAGATCAGAATAGGGACCCTGTCTGATGCATCTTTGTGATTCCTACGCTTGTTCCCCAGGCTAGAGTGCAATGGTGAAATCTCAGCTCACTGCAACATCCCCCTCCTGGGTTCAAGTGATTCTCCCGCCTCAGCCTCCAGAGTATCTGGGATTAAAGGTGCCCGCCACCACACCAGGCTAATTTTTGTATTTTTAGTAGAGACAGGGTTTCACCATGTTGGCCAGGCTGGTCTCTAACTCCTGACCTCAGGTGATCCACCGGCCTCGGCCTTTCAAAGTGCTAGGATTACAGGCATCAGCCACCTACTTGGCTTAATGACAGTGGTTGAGACACATTATCCTGTCATAAAAGTCTCATACTAATCTCATTTTCCTCTTTCCACATTCTGAAGGGACTAGGGAATGAAGCCACCATGTTTGGGAAAGTTGGGAGTAAAAGAGTTGGTTTCAAATGAAATAGAATGGAACAAATGGGGTGTTAAAAAACGATGGTTTGTTCTGAAAGACCGCTTTTTACCTTCTGTCCCTGTATTTATTTATTTTATTTATTTTACTTATTTTATTTGTTTGAGACAGAGTCACACTGTCTCCCAGGCTAGAGTGCAGTGGTACGATCTCGACTCGCTGCAACCTCGGCCTCCTGGGTTCAAGCGATTCTGCTGCCTCAGTCTCCCCAGTAGCTGGGATTACAGGAACACCACCATGCCCAGCTAATTTTTTGTATTTTTAGTAGAGATGGAGTGTCACCATGTTGGCCAAGCTGGTCTTGAACTCTTGACCTCAAGTGATCCACCCACCTTGGCCTCCCAAACTGCTAGGATTACAGGAGTAAGCCACCACGCCTGGCCTGTCCCTGTGTTTATAAGCAGAATGGGCAACTCCGAAAGTCATGAGAGATCCTAGGATCTGCTGTCATCCTTTGACCTCTTCGTCTAGGAGACTGCATTAAGTCACAGGACTGATTTCCAATTCTATCTCTAGCATAAACTTTCTTCCAAAAGCCAGATTCTTCTATTCAATTGCCTATTTGATTTCTCCACTTGGATGTCTAATAGGTGTCAATTTTGCTCCTCTAAAATCGACCACATTACGGGGGATCCAAACCAGTCCTGGCAAACCCTCTGTGTGGCCTGTGTGGAGGCACCATATTAACTCTCCTACTATTTCCCCCATTGTGTGTACATTAACTATAGATGGTCTAGAATTTGTGACTTCCTGTTATGCCCAAATATTTTGTTCAGACCTTTGAGAAACAGCTATGTGAAGACATGCAATATTCACGATCTTCCAATGATGAGGATGGGGCTTGGGTTCTTAGAGAATATTGAGGGATGATCCAAGTGTAGACTCTAGCAACTGCACTTGAGTAAGACAGAAAAAAACACAGCAGCTCATGTGCTTGTCTTAAGCTGAAACAGTCAAGGGAATATGGGCAAGTTACAAATTGCGTCTCCACTTGCAGATAGGTTTTGATGTCACTGTTTGTACTTGGAATCCGTTATTAAATATTTACATAGCTTGATGCAGCAAAGAAATGTGTTCAAGTAGCCAAAAAACTAAATAAGACTCTCTTTGATGAAGTGAGTAAATTTAAGATAAATCCCCTTCTTTTTCTTGGATTGGGTCCTAAGAACAGAAGTAAAAGTAAAGCATGCATTTGCTTTTCTCACTGTGTGTGGAACCTGAAATAGGCAAAAATATGTATTACAAAGAATATCCTCTGATTTTCAGAGGAAAGGCAATGGAAATTATGCATTACAGGAAGGGCTAATTTAGGAAAGTGCATTGCGTGCCCAGCCTAGCTTACCCAGCACTACTACTCTATGTGCTGTGAGTTGATTAAAGATCAGATGAAATCATATGATGTTCACAGAGATGATCTAGGGCTAAATGTGAACTGAGGTTGCCAAAATGTTGTCTCTATGTCATCCCTTCTAATAATATTTACGAAGTTACTCTCACAGTGCATTGCATTCTTCTGTGTCATTTCTGTGTGATGGGAACTATTGTTATTATTGGCAGCATTTATGATAGCTGGCCTAGAAAGGTCAGGTCAAGTTGTTTACCCAGTTGGCTAAGATGCTATGTATGACCATGATTAGAGAGTCACCTGGGAAAAGAGTGGCACTTCTCTTCTCAGGTTAACCACAAATCTTGGGGGTGATCCAGTCGAGACAGAGGTGAAGCAAAAAGATTATTTGGGGGCAATGGATATGACAAATCCATGCATTCATTTGAGTAAAAGTAAACCATGAGAAGATTATTAAATGATTTAGTGCTAAGGAGGAGAAGTAATGAAAGCTGTTTCCTTGCAGATAATGCTAAACATAACATTGCTACTCGAGATACCTGATTCCTAAAATTTCTAGGGACACCTTACCTAGCATTAAATGAATTCTGTCCAGCTTGTCTGGAAAAATCTAATAACATAAGGCCACTGGTAGAACTTTGAGAATGCAAGTCACACTTTTTCCAGAGCGTGAGGGATGGTCAATTTGACAAAATTTATCAGGTCCTTAAAGAGAAGTCTATTCAATTTTTCCACCTCTAGGATCATATTCCAAGGAAGCAATTTAAAATACACATAACAGGAACTACAAAGACATGATGGAAAGATTAACAGACTTGACCATAGAATATTAAAGTTAAAATATGAACAACAGACTTAGATAATATAGTTACAGAATATGTATTAGACAAACGATTATTTAAGAGATGGCTGTTTCAATAGGGAACCACACAGTCATGATCTATTCCCTCATGGAGATGATAGACTTGTGGGGGAAATTGGCATTACAAAAGCATATGGACAATAAGCCCATATATTTAGACAGGATAAGGACTAAGAAGAAAATGAATGTGAAGAGTGTAATAAGACTACCTTTGATTTGGTGGTCAGGGAAGGTCTTCTTGAGTAAATGAAAATGAAAAGAAATGGAATGGGGCTGGGCGCGGTGGCCTAGCCTGTAATCCCAGCACTTTGGGAGGCCAAGGCAGGCGGATCATGAGGTCAGGAGTTTGAGACCAGTCTGGCCAACGTAGTGAAACCCTGTCGTTACTAAAAATACAAAAAAAAAATTAGTAGAGTGTGGTGGTGGGCACCTGTAATCCCAGCTACTCGGGAGTCTGAAGCAGGAGAATTAAGTGAATCCAGGTGGTGGAGGTTGCAGTAAGCCAAGATTGCACTATTGCACTCCAGACTGGGCAACAGTGGGAGACTTGGTCTCAAAAGATTAAAAACAAATAAACAAAAAAGAAATGGAATGGGCTTCTACCGGGGATGCGAGGGAATACTGGTGAAATCACATTGATGAAGCTGTTGGGAAAAGCAGGCGCTAATTCACAAATTGGTCTCTGATGTTTCTTATTGTTGCTGTTAACCTAGAGAATACTAGGTGCCAGGAGCTGGACTAGGTGCCCTGATGGGTGCAAAAATGTCTGCTCTCATGCACCTCAGACTGTGATTGGATGATAAAAAACAATAGCTAATTATTTTTTAGTTTATGAGATTTTCATTTAATCCTCAGGGTAAAAAGCTTTAATTAAATACATTTTTTAAAAAGCTCCATAAGAAAGGTTCACTGCACATGCAATGCTGATTGTGGTGTTATTGGTGGTAATAGTGATGGTGCCAGACAGTAGATATGTTAAGGGTGCTCAGGGGTGTTTGGAGGAAGAGCTATGTTGGGGATCAGGAAATGCGACTAGATTTGGCATTTGGGATGGCTATAGAAAGATGAGCGAGATTTTGGCAAATAATTGGTAGATAGTGGGGAAGAATGTCTAAGACTGAGTAAAAGCACAGATATAGGAGCTAGAGATATGTTAGAGAAATAATAACTAGTTTCATCTGGCTGCTGTCTAGAGTACTCTAAAGGCAGAGAGAATGGAAGATTCAGTTATCTCATGAAAGCCTGAAATGCTAGCATGAGGACTTTGAGATTTCTAGAGTAGGCAGCAGGGAACTGTTGAAGCCTTTTAATCAGGGAGTAATGTGTTTTCTGCTCAAATTTTTTAACAGTTAAATAATTCTACTAAACTTTATTGAACACCCACTATGTACCAGCACTGTGATTGATGCTGAGAATA